ATGAATTTCACGTTTTCTATCAATTTTTTCGAAAAATTTATATGAGCAAAATGTTCTTATTTTTACATTTTACGCATGTATGTGAAGTTTCATGATGATCGGATAATAACTGTTGAAGTTTTTCCGGAGGGTAGTGGGTCCCCTTAAGTCTAATACGCAAAAGATTGAAGATTATGCAAGAGAAAAATAGTGACACGAAGTGAAGCAGGTAATTCACGCCTGAAATTTCAAAATAATCGGGTGATATCAATTCTTATATCACGCAAGAATGTTCTTGATAAAATATTTCGAATCAAACCGCTGTCAAAATTGGTGTAATGTTCACATTATGAAACTTGGCTCATCAATGTGCCACTGGTGCCAATGGGTAGTAATTGGCGGAAGGAGAGCTTTACGTTTAGGGGGGCCATAGGCAGGTTATAGGTATGGTGAAGGTGGTGCACGCCACCCTTAATTCACTGTATAAATCAAAGCTGCTCCACCTATGGCGTCCGCCTATAGCCATCATAAAAACATAGGTGCTCCACTCTTAATGTTTATTTGGGATACTTCATTCTATGGGGACAGGATACACAAAATTTACAAATTCTTTGATTCGTCCTGAGAAGAGGGCAGAAGTTCAGCGTATAAGTTTAGAAAATTATTCAATAAAACAACTGGAAAATAAAAAAGTCAAAACCTACTATCGTACTGCGTTTCAACTATCAAATGATCTTCCACTACAATGCTACTCAGGAAGGATATATAGCAGCTATTACTCTGGAATTATACATCCAAGTTCTGCAACTACGCCATCTGCATATATAAATAACTCTTGTAAGTGCGTTGTTTCTAGCGAAGGAATTCATGTTAGAGATGGAACAGAGCATATGCCTTCTGAAATAAACCTAAGAATTGCCTAATAAATTTTGAACTGAACATATGTCACAAACATAAAATACTAATAAATCGTATTTGAGGGGAGCGTCTATAATTTATACCAAGAAAAAACTTTTTTATTTACGGACGGAGCATTTTAAAACTTGGTACCCTGTGTAAAATAGAAATCTAAGACTTTTTGCTCATGTAAATTTTCGAAAAAAATGAAATAAAAAGTGAAATTCATAGAAATCGGCAAAAAAGGGAGGTACTGTAAAAATACATCTCCTCCTAGTATTATCAAGCTAAAACATCGAGAGACAAATATTTCGATGCGTAAAAGCCATATCTAAAGAACCTCCGGTCATTTTTTCGAATTTTTGCTATTTTTTCCTTGTTTTTATCAATTTTGTCCCCTCCCCCCTTTTTTCAATATATAAACATAACAAAAAAGAAACTGAAAAAATGTCCGGAAGATCTGTAGAGATTGTTTTACGAATCAAATGGTGTACCTCTCAATGCTGTAGCTTGAAAATCATAGAGGGAGATAAATTTCTTAGANGGATAATAAGCTATAATTGTGATATTTTATATATATATATATATATATTTAAAAATTGTTCATTTTATATTAGTTCAAACGGCCCAAAGCAAAAAAAAAAACTTGCATGCACATCCGTGGTATTTGCTTTCGTAAACGCGCATCGTTTGTAGCTTTCAAGCGAGTGCATACACTTTGTAATTAACGTGAATAATGATCTATAGATACCTATTTTTAATGAAAATTTGTAAATATTGTTATAAATGGTCATTTTATGAAAGTTCAAGACAGCCTTACGCAAAAATTACTGCATGTACATCCATGGCATTAACTACGTTGAACGCGTCTCGTTTGTAGCTTTCAAACGAGTGTAAACACTTTGCAGTTAATTAGAATAATGATCTATCAGTACAGATTTAATTTCAAAAAATCTTTGTACATATAGTTAAAAAATGTTTATTTTATATATTTTTGAACTTGCTTTACGCAAAAACTAGAGCACGCACAGACATGCAGTTTACTGCGCTAGACGCGGCTTTTCAGCAGCTACAAAATGAGCCAAAAAAACGGAAAAGCCAAATTAATCGATTTTTTTCCTAGACGATCTCCTTAAAGTCAATAATAATAAACAGTTTCTGTGTGTGTAGTACTCTAGTCATTACCTTCAAAACAGTGCGTAATACGCAGGGTAGTATTCTTGATAATCATACTTGACGAATATAGTGGGTTTGGCCAGATTGTCAACCGTGGTGTCAGTACGACGGTTCAATCTGTAAAAAAAAGAGTTAAAGGCAAACATCAGTAGAGTATCCTGTACACCATCACCACACACATAATTTGTGGTAATATGGGTACACATCAGTAGAGTTTCCTGCTCATCTTCACAGGCATGATACTGAACTTAAAGCTAAGATCGTGATAATAAGATCGCCTCTAGGCAGAAGGGACGAACTTGTCTTTCGGAGGTCTGATAGTTTCTTTGTCGCCAAGCGCGGTGAGGCCCACCAAGACCCCGCAGATGAAGATGGCATTACCGTACTTGCGAGACATTGCGGCGCTGTTGTGATAAAATTAATTTCTAATTAGGTCTTTAAAATGCATTTGAAACTTGTCTCATCAATATTTTTATATTATTGGTCATTTAAAAGTATAATTGGGTTCAAAACATTCTTAATAGTAAGATCAAATCAAACAGAGGTTATTCGTCATATCATCATATGTAGGAATATCATATCGAGTACCAGGCGCGATCATTCGAAACTGAAAGGAATGCACAGTGTCTTGTTATAAACCGATTACAAAAGTTATGTGACCTATACACCCAGACTCGAGTCAGAGCAGTGGAGAGGTTTTGAAAAATAATGACATCATGGTACGGGAACTATCTCTGAACCTCAAGAAAGGTGGTATATTGATGCCATGCATCTTATACAAAGAATATAATTTCAATTGTAAATTGTTTGAATACTAAAAATTCTATTGTGAATTGACATAAATCCATATGGCAGAAATCAACATACTTGTTGGAGAAGTAGGCGCCCTGTCCATAAAGTTGTCCAACATTAGTTCCATGAAGCCTCCAATCAAAATTATCTTCTAGAATTGGTTTGACGTTGGCGGAGTCTGTCCCGTGGAAGAGCCACTCATCCTTGTACTTGACATCCGGGAATCGATTCTCTAGTTTAGCCTTGTTGTTATAAAATGCTCTTTTTAGGTAAGGGTTGAGGATTTTATGGATGGCAATGGGGTTGCAGTTTGGAATGTGGGACCTCAGTAAAGAAAGAATTTTGTCGTACTCAGTTTGGTTTGGTTTAAGGGTAGTCACGGAATACGCCTGTCCTTTGGGGATATCGTTGAATGCTTGATATGATGCTGCATTAGCCGAGCCAGAAGTAGCACCCTGCATGGATGTGATGTTCTCGCGTCGATATACGTTGCGCACTTTGCCAGTCGTGGTGTTAGTTTGAGTCATGTTGGTGAAATCCAGAAGGTACGACTGGTTGCCTGCAGTGAACTTGAATTTTGTCGTTGGGTTTGTCTGGTAATGATTTTCGATAGCACTTGTGACGTCGGAATCACCTTTGGAGCCAATCTTAACCCATGACCCATTGTCTTCTTTGAAGAACCATTCATAATTCAATTTCACGGACACAATATTTCCGCCGTTACTGCCAGAATTCTTGATCGTACGACGCATTGGTCTTTGCACTTTTGTGCTTAAGTTGGTCTGTATCATGGTTTTAAAGTTCAGCTCGTATGAGTGCTGGCGGCTCTTGATGCTCATCAGCTGATCAGGCCGACTTTGGTAATGTTTTTCAATGTCATCAGATCCTTGAGAAGGAACAGTGCTTGCATCATTTCCAGAACTAGCGTGGCCATACTTTGTCCATGTATTGTTTTGATCGAGGAAAAACCACTCGTATTCGTCGCTGGGAAATTTATCATCGTTATCATCGTTATCTTGCATCAACGAACTCAGGGCGCTCATAACTTTATTAGTCTCTTCCGCAAAGTTAGTCATACCCACCGTAGACGAATTCTTCTGGCCCATAATTCTCAACCCTGAAAGACCAGGTTTTAGGATTCACAGATTTTTTATTTTTTTTTGAAGAACCGAGTCATAAAATTACAGCCTTCCCAAAGATGTTTGATGGTCAGTAAGTAAAAAAATTAACCCTATTGATGTACTGATGAAAGTTTTGACCATCACAAGTTACTTCTTATCTGAAATGTAGCTATTCGCCAATGGCAAAACAAACGTAAATTAGCATGAATTCGTCCAGCAAAAAGATGGCCTTTGCATCATTGGCTTGACATTGGTCAGCATCGAGCTATGTGTGGCTATCGCCAAGACTGGAAAATGGGCACAGGAATAATTTTGAACGACATTTGAGTGGCTGTGGTCAACAAAGTATAGCATACAAACAGGTCATTGGTCGCCTATGGTGAATTTCTTCCGGCTTACAACATGAAAGTTTATCGGCACCAACAAAGACAAATTCTTCTGTAAAATATTTCATTCGTCGTAATAAAAAACTACACAGTTAATGAGCGAACAACCATGGGTTTATTTCTTCATCGCCGACACTACTATACAGATACAAATTAGGTGCAACATTACAAATAGTGATATGATATCTAATTGTTTGAATATGTGCTCTTAGTAAGAGTATTGAATTACATTATTAGAAGTTTATTTCGACTCCATTAATTCAGGAAACATTTCATGCAACTGTAACGTTTGCTCATATGTCATTGTATATTATAGATTGAAATGATTTCCATATTTTCCGTCATTTATTCTGCAAGACTTCAACAGGCTAGGTGTCAACATTGTAACTTTATTTCGGGCGCAAACCATCTTTCTTGTGTGCGAGTAGTATAGTAAGGTTCGTTCAACGTTACGATAGAATATTTTTTTCCATTGATGGATATGAGTCAGGTTGTGTTGAACAAAGTGGCAGTACTTAAAAAAGTTGACTCATAATTCACAGCGACCCAGTAAAGTTTTCAGCTGAAATCCAGTCAAGCGCCTTACTTACAATAGCTTTAATAGTGTCCTGTAAAGTGATTCGGCCATTTACAAATATTTTCAGGTGAGGTCTCAACGTTTAAGATGACTTGAGCTTGGTCCGGTAAACCTGGTAGCCAGAGTTCATCCTACCGCCCCATCTTCCTTCTATGTCTAGCAGTCAAGATCCTGGAACGATTATTACTCCCGCACATCGCAGGCATCCCTTACCACCGTTCCCTCGAAACATGGCTTCAAACCGGGACACTACTGTCACCGCCCTCCTCCCGCTCACGAACCAAGTAGCGACGGGTTTAAATTCACGGTGGCGCCCAGCCCGCACAGTGGCAGCTGCGGTAGACCTATCGAAAGCTTTCGATAGCGTCGACCACACTCTCCTTTTTTAGTACGATCGCGGCCTCGGACTTCCACCACAATCTGGTCCGCTGGCTGTCCTGTTATCTCAGAGGCAGGATAGCATCCTGCCTCTATCTCAGAACAATTCAATCAGGAGTCTGCCAAGGCTCGGTTATCTCGCCGGCCTCATTCAAACACCTTATCTCTGACATTCCAGTACCTGTCACCGATATTGCCTCATACGCGGACGACCTCGCGATCTTCGTGTCTTCCCCGAGGTTTAACGCTGCAGAGGCTGACCTCGCCGAGCTTCTTCGGGGCGTCTCGGACAGGTCTGCCTGCAAGAAATTGGCCGTAACACCGGGCAAGTCATCCGTCACGTTCTTCACCCCTGACACCCACCCATCCCACTCACCCCATTCCGCCACTATCTGCAACGGCAGTATCCCTCTAGATTAAACTCCCTAAATTCTAGGCGTCACCTGGGACATCCACTACACATTTTTAACCACACGTCAAAGCCACAGCCACTAAAGCGGTGGGTTCACGACGTATCCTAAAAGCCCTGGCTGACACCAACTGAAATTTCTCCATGGAGGACCTCATCGCCACCTACCGGACATTCAAACGCCAGATCCTCGATTACGCTGCCCCCATCTGGTACCCTGTCACCTCACGCACTGCAATAGCAAGCCTCCAAACTATCCAAAACTCAGCTGTGAGACTTGCCATCGGCTGCCTCAAAACGGCCCCAATTACTCCTCTCCATCATGAGACTTTCGTCCTTTCCTTGCCCTTCACCTGGTCCTGGCTTGCGCTGTGTTCCTAGCCAGCGCCCTTCTACCCTCCCATACATCAATCCGCATAGTCTCTGCTCCCCTCGGGGACAGTCCCATGAGATCCTTCTTTATGTAGAGATTCAGCCACCTTGTTGCGCCCTTTCTGACATACGGCATCATGTCCGCCGGTGCCTATGGAGAGGATAATTAAGCGCTCTCTTCGCAGGGAGATCTCCCGCGTTGTGGCGACCGCCGAGTACAGCGCTGTCCTTGCGACCCCATCATCACCGATTGCATCAGAAGAGGCCTCGCTTCCTCACCCCTACCGCTCTGTGCTATCCCAGCACCACTCGGATATTGTAGTTCCCTGGCATCCCAGACCTCTAGAGTCGGACGCTCCCCCAGCGTAACTTGCCCCGAGTGCGAGGAGACCCTCCTGTCACACCAGCATCTCTTTATCTGCCCATTCTTTCCCGCGCCCCTCAGCGTCTCCTCATTGTGGGACTGTCTCGTAGAGACAGCGCGTTCCAGGCAATCAATCCGCCTTCGTCCCTCTCCCTTCTCGTCCGTTACCTCTCCATCGGCCACCACCGAAGCCTCCATCCCTGTGAGCGTGATGCCGGCGCCAGAAACAACAACTGAGGCTTGGGAGGTGTTCGTGAACCACATCCAAACCATATTCCATGGTCCGCGTGATTTGATTTAGGACGGCGGGAGAAAATAGCGGCTTAACGCTACTGCAGCATCTGTTTTGTATACTGGTTCATCTTTCCTTGCTGGCGAAGCTGTGAATTATGTAACTGTTACCGCCTTTGCAGTCTTCTGAGAGGTGGGTGTGATTGCCGCCCACCGGTGCGGTCGCTGCACTAGCTACAGCTCAGTCAACCAGAGTGCCACGCAGTTCTTTTATCCTACAATCTGGAAATTTTGTAACAACATTCAGCTCAGTGCATCAAAATCATGTGATGAAGTGGGACTGATCAGTGCGCACAAAAGTGAACCTTGCCAGAACTGCAATTCTTTCTTAACATCAAATACCTTCAGTAAAGACTAGAAAATACTAAAAAATATTAATGGCTAATATTTAGAAAAAATCTTTTCACTATTGAGTTTTTTGACAAATTTCTGGAAAGTTATTCAATGTCAAGATTATAATGACTGAGGTTAAAATATAATTTAGCCATAAAAACTTTATTTTTATTTGTTATACGTCTTACTCGCTCCTGCTGTGTAAATGAATTTCATGTTACAAATAAACTGTGTTTGGTTAGGAATAAATGTGATATTGAATTGAAGCTCACTGCCTAGCTTTATTCTACTTGACTAGCGTTTCCGTCTCTGATTTTATAATTGTATGTGAATTCAGGTTATTTCACTCTTATGTTAAAATTTTATGTTCATGTATCATTAGTGAGTCGACTAACCGTGATTAATAAAATAAGTTGAACAAAAGAATTAGACACATGCCACTATTTTCTAGTGGTTGAGGTTCTTAATTATTTCTGCAATTTACAGGCATTTCTATAATATTCAGAATTTTATGACGCAGGCGTAACATTTTTATTTCTTATCAAATTTGCTGGACGTTTCCCTGATGAGCTGATAAAGTTTGTGTTGATAAAGTTTCTGATGATGTTTATAAAGTTTGTTGATGAATTGATACAGGTTATCAATTTCATTGTGATAAATGTGGAAACTCGATCCTTCATGTCATACTTTGAATCCTAAATCAAATCTAAGTATTTTACAAACAAGAGCCACAAGTTTCCTAGGTCAGAGTTATTAAAGGTGATAAATTTGAACGATTGCAAAAAAATAAAATCCAAACTATCTGTTTGCATTGAATTTTTTCACTTGATCCTATTTTCTTTCTTTTTTCATACTTCATCTCATATCATAGTTTTCTCCTATGTTTTAATTTTTAACGAATAACTTCTTTGACTAACAACCATGATTAACCTGCTAATAATTTGCAGGTTAATAATTTGCAGAGTCATGACAACGTGTACAGTATGTTTCATGCACTTACTGAAATATTTTGTACACGCGCGGATTTGATTTTTGCGTCTTATGTAATGTGAGAGTAAAATTGCAAAAAATATATAAAAAAAACTTGACCTGGCTGGACCTAACCTCAGTAAAACGGTCTCTAGCAACCTAAAGAAGGGTTTTAGACACTTCAAACCCTAACTCTAACCCTAACCTAACGAGGTTGGCGTTTTTTTGGTGTCCGGTAATGTAGTTCATTTATTTTCGTGTCCGGTTATTATACATAAATAAGTACTAGCGTCAATTACCGGACTCGATTTTTGTCCGGTTTTGTACCCGATGTCCGGTAATGTTCACACGCGACAATCTCACAACCAGACCGTCACTCGCTTTGTGCTGAAGGAACCCGCCAGCATTGTCATCAAGCAGTGGCCTGAGACATCAATCGACCGAAGATGGTTAGCCTCATCGTCTCTACGAATTGGACGCCTGCTACCTCTTTCCTAAGTACCGGATTTGGCTGAACTTTAAATGATTTTCAGAGTGATTTTATGATTCAAAATTTTACTATAGTATCCTATTTACGTATATTATGTACTTATTTCCACCAGAATTTCAATATTTAATGCTCTTTGTAACTTGAAAATGAATGTTTGTTACATTCGAAACGTCGTTAATAAACTAAAACTACTTCCTGATATTTTCCTTTCGATCTACCAACGTCATCTGAAGAATTGTCCGACTCTTTGATAATTTAAATCAACTAATTCTCTGGTCGTCAATCGCACGCGTATAAATCAACAAATTCTGCCATCTGAAACTAATTATATATATATATATATATTCGGGACAGTAGGGTGTAAGAACGGCTGATATTCAGCAACAATTAATATCAATTCAGCATCGATTAATATA